GGAGACCTCAAAGCGGTAGAAACGCATCAAACTAGATCCAGGGGTTCAATAACTGTAACGGCACACGATCGGCCCATCGTCTCTCTGATGTTAATTCTTCTGATGTTTTCTTGGTTAACTTATTTTGGGTTTGGTTATTTGTTTGTTTCGGCATATTTCTTCTTTTTTTTCTCAAACTTACTTCGCTCTCCGACGAATGCCTCCCTTTTTTAAAAAAATGTCTTTCTTTTTAAACTGCCATCATAGCGCAACGTTATTTCCACAGTACATTGTCTCCACATCACCATCACCATAACTACAACCATCGGCAAAATTGTAAACCCCTACCACTAAGAATAATAACAGCAGATGCAGAAGCAGCAGCAGCAACAACAACTTCGCCCGTACCAACAATATCACCAGACCTTCATGGTCAACAACAAATAAAACAGAAACAACACAACTAGAAAAAAAAAATTTACCATCTATGACACTCCTCCTCCCCCCTTTAAGAAAAAACACCAACAAATAAACCAAAACACAAACGATAATAATATAAACAGAAATAAAGCGATACTCAGGCATAGATTGCAATGCAAAACCAACAACTGAAACCATTCAGGAAAGACCACACAAAAGATAGAAACACTGCCAAGAAAGAGTATGCAACGACTCTACTTGCAGTTTTTGAAAAGTCGGCCCTCAGTGGTGGAGAAAGTGTAATAAAAAAAACAACCAAAAAAAACAAACAACAACCTTATTTCTGCATTAGTCATTAAGAATGCCGGAGAGGACTGAACGGTGGCCATCGACAAAACAGATCAAGGTACAGGGTACTATTAATAGTCCACGACTATGGTTCAAGGTCAGAATAGCTGTGGCCGTATAAAGCGGTCACAACAACAGCAATCGAATCAGAGCTCACATATGAGTTATAAGACAATAATATTATTTTATCATGAAAAATTGGCACACTGCTTAATCATATAATAATGTATCATACCTGGCAGAGGGCCAAAGCGAATGAAAGAAAAAAGATGAATGGATAGATGAAGCAAGGATGGATGCACGCGCTAATGAATGAGTAAAAAAAAATGAATGAGCCAGCGAATGAATGAACGACTAAATGAATGAATGAATGCATGAATGAATGAATGAATGAATGAATGAATGAATGAATGAATGAATGAATGAATGAATGAAATTACCGCAAAACCGTGGCGGTTGTTTCTTCTTGCTCCGCCATTGTCGGCCCGTCTTTAATAATGTCTGCTATCGA